GGGAAAAAAATTAGTGTTGTTGATGACCAAACACTCAGACAAAGACAAGACGCAAATATACTCAGAAAACACTTTTTACTTGCCAAGCAAGAGAACGGAACGAACTGTTTTATTAAAAAAGGAAAATTGCATGTCGACGGCATTGTTTATGAAGTAGCAGACTTAGAGGAAGTATTTGAAGATTCTAAGGACTCAAAGAATAAGAAGTCAAACAGTGCGCCTCCAACTCCTTCTGTACCATTGAGGAAGGAATCAGTAGATGAAGTTTTTAAAGAAACACGCTAAACCAACAACTACTGTTAAACCTCCTACCACAGTAACTCCAGTTGGACGTAACGGATCTACGAGGCAAAGAAGGAAACCTTCGACCCGTCATCAGACCCAACAAGTTGTAGATTCCAGGACAACCAGAAATCGTACCAATAATAAGTAACGCTTAGTTTTAAGTATGTATGAACCTATTTCTATTTATAGTTAAAATTTTAAATTGTTTATTTTCCCAAATTAATTTTTTTTTTATATTGTTCCGTCTTTTTTATATATATTTTAATCTAATTTTTTTGTGTATATTTTCCTACATAATGGTACTATTTTATTAGTGTAGCCAATATTCTATTTTGTAGTTTATTGATTCTGTTTTAGCGGTTATTCAAATTAATCTTAAAACATAATTGATTGTTAGAAAAGTATTAAAGTGAGATAATACATAAAAAAAACAACGACAAATTGGTAAACAAAAATGGACCCGTATATTCGAGACGTAAATTATGAATCTTATGATACCGTAGAATTCAAAAGTGTAGATGAAATAAATAATTATTATAAAAATGTTAATACTTGTATGTTTAAATTATTCCATCAGAATATATGTAGCATTAACAAGAATTTAGAAGAGTTAAAAATATTTCTATCACGGTTAAATCATGATTTCAATTTTATTGTTTTAACGGAAACACTAAAAATACCAGACTTAAATATATTTCAGCTAACAGATTACAATATAATATATAATGAGGGAGATATAAATCGTAATGATGGAGTGGTAATATTTGTAAAAAAAACTTGATACTTAACTCTGACATAATCCAAATAGGACAGTGTAAAGCAATAAGATCAATAATTCATTTAGAAAATAAAAATAAACTTGGTATAACATCACTTTACAAACCACCACCCATCAAGGAGGAAGAATTTGGTTATAACCTTTGGACATATCTGGAAGACACAAAAAACAACCTAAAAAATCATAAACATATCTTTGTAGGAGACATTAATATAAATATAAAACAAAATACTGATTTAGTCTCCTTTTATTTAGACACGCTAGGAGAATTTAATTTTGTATCTCTGATAAATAAATATACACGAGAAAAGGGATCCTCAAAAAGTTATTTAGATCACATTTTTTATAGTTACAATGCACCTACCTTAGACAATTATACGGCGGCAATTTTTGATACACAAATAACAGACTACTATTGCATATTTTCCTCTAAAAGTTGATGTGTGTCCAAAAACGTAATTTGTTGAAAAAATTAATTACGATAAACTAAAACTAGAATTAGCTAATCAAAATTGGGAAACTTATTACTTTATAGAAAATGAAAAAGTTAAGTACTTAACAGAAACTCTAAATTTACTTTTAGAAAACAATACAAAATTAATAAAACAAAAAGACCACCATAAAAAAAGAAAACAATGGATAACAGAAGGAATTATAAAGTCAATAAAAGAGAGAAACCGTTTATACAGTATTCACAAAAATAATTTTGATCATATTGAAAAAAAAATGCGATATTTTAATTATAGAACACTTACAGATAAATTAATTAAACAAGTTAAAAAAGATTTTTACACCAAACAAATAAATGAAAATAAAAATAGTTCAAAAAGGTTATGGGATACTTTAAAACAAATACAAGGAGATAGTAGAAGCAATAGAGAAATACGTGAAATAACTACAGATGAAGGGAAACATATTACAGACGCAAAAGATATAGCAGAAAGATTTAATCAATTTTTTTCAGAAATAGGCGCATCACTTGCAAATAAAATAGATGACCCAAACTCACCACCTCCGGTCAGAAATATTCACAAAAACTCTTTTGCGCTACTACCAGTAACTGAAAAAGAAATAAATAATATCATTAATTCACTTTTGAACAAAAAATCGCCTGGGATAGAAAATATTTCCTCAGAATTAGTAAAAGAAAATTCTGATACATTAGCACCACTTTTGATGGATCTAATTAATAAAATGTTTGATAAAGGTGAGTTCCCAGCCGAATTAAAAAAATCTTTAGTAGTACCAGTCTTTAAAAAAGGAAAAAAGAGTATGTTTACAAACTACAGACCTATTAGCTTAATAACAACTTTTACAAAAATAGCAGAAAAAGCCTTAAATTTACGTTTAAAAGATTACCTCAATAAATATAAAATCATCTCAAACAAACAATTCGGGTTTCAAGACGGGCTCTCAACAACAGATGCGATCTGTGAGTTGTTAAAAAAAATTTATAGTTCTGTTGACTGCAAAAAACCATGTCTAGCAGTTTTCCTGGATTTTGCCAAGGCCTTCGACACTGTAGATCATAGACAGTTGTTAGAGACATTGGAAGATATAGGGATACGTGAACAACTTTTGACCTTTTTAATAGTTATCTGAATAACAAATTTCAAAGAGTTAAAATCAATAATGAAATCAGTGACGAGAGGCCAATAAAAAGCGGTGTTCCTCAAGGAACTATATTAGGTCCCACTTTATTTACATTATATGTAAACAATTTATATAATTTACAGATCACAGGAGAAATAGTAAGTTTTGCAGACGACACTGCGATTTTTTATGAAGCAGAAACTTGGAACGATCTAAAACGGAAAACTGAAAGAGATTTAAAAATAATAATAGACTGGTGTTCCCATAAAAAATTAACCATAAACTACAACAAATCTTTCGTTTTACCATTTGTCAGCTACTCTAATAATCTACCTCAATGTAGTAACATTAGTTTAACTTATAATAAAAAGAAAATAACATTGGAAAAAAAATGAAATAAAATATTTAGGAGTTACCCTAGATTGTCATTTACGTTGGGACGCACATATAAATAACTTAACAAATACCTTAAGACTTCTTTTATTTAAATTTAAATACCTCAAAAATATTTTACAAGTTACTCACCTAAGAACTATTTATTATGCTTTAGTCCAAAGTCGTGTACAATACGCAATCGTCTGTTGGGGTGCTACAACCAAAAATCACATATCCAAACTTGAAATATTACAAAAGAGAATTCTAAAAATAATACACAACAAAAAAGTTAGATACTCAACAGATGCATTGTTCGAGGAAGTAAAAATAATGGATATACGACAATTATACATATACTCAGTTATAATTCTAATCTACAAAAAATAAACAATTATTAAACAAAATTACCCATAACTATGATACAAGAAGCAAGGATAAAGGAAAAGTTGGTACCCATCTTGTAAATAAAACAATAGCACAACGTTTTTATATTTATTTAAGTGCAAAAATCTTTAATTATCTTCCGGATATGTACAAGGAATATTTACAAATCATAAATTCCGTTGAACTCTTTAAATCTATCATCAAAAAAATTCTTATTAATTCGGATAGAAAAACCCAAAGAGAAATAATTGATTAAATATACAAGTATTCGAACTTATATTTTATAATTTTATTATTTATATTTCATATGTATTTTAAATGATGTGTTTTTTAGCTAATTTTATATTGTTATTATTCAGTAATTATAATTTAATATGTATTATTTATTTAATGTAATTAGATTTTATGAACTTATACAAGTCAAGCTTTAATGTATTTAAAAAAAAAAGTTAGTAATTCGGCAGCCCATGCGCAACCACATGGTCATAAATGGGCAGCAAATACTTTTAATGTATAAGGTGCCTATGTCAATTACTCTGTTAATTTAAAATTATTTAAATGTACCTACAACTATGATGTAACCAAAAACAAAAATGCTGAATAAAGATTATTATTATTATTATTATTACTTGCTAGTTAAGAATTAATTTATAGATACCAGTTGTGGATAAAGTGATATCTATTACCCACTAAGCAAAAAACATTCCAGTTTCATCTCATATATGTTTTAAGTTACATTGTTACGTTATATAAAAAGGATTTGTTACAGCGTCTTTTTATTCATAGTTACTTAAAATGTCCTCAAACATAACAAAATCGAGGTCACGTTTATAGATAAACATTTCAGTTATGAAACTATAACATACTAGTTTCGTGTTTGAGATGTTTTTATTGCGTACTAACTAAAATGTTTTAGTCTTGTTACTTGAGTTACATTCTCGTTTCGAAACTAAAACATATTATTTGCGTTTTTGAAATGCTAATATTATCGTTGTATTTGTTACCAAAGTTATGTTTTTTTTTCAAAACTATAACAGACTTGGTTCATTTTTGAGATGATTTGAATACAGAATCATAATAATGTTTTATTCATTTTTGTTTTGTAACTAAAACAACTAGTATTCATTTTTGAGATGATCCAATACCATTACTGATATGTAACGTCATACAAGGTGTTCTACAAGATCTATGACAAACTTTGGCAGATGAGAACTGGGCCGATTCTTAAATAAACATGGGTCCAATTCGTTTTTGTTAAGAAATTGAAAGCATTTAAAAATATATTTCCATTTTTTAAATCTAAGGTAGGTTGATAAATCAAAATGCAGTTGATATCACAATTGTTTGGGTAATTTTTATTATTTATTTGACACTTACTATGAAAATTTTATATAAAAATGCATTTATTCATCACTTAGGTGAAACCAGATATTTTGTTTATACATATGGATATTCCAATGGGAACGACAGGCAAGCAGCTCCAGAATAACGATGAAGGTATTTAAAGGTGTCATCGTATTCTCGAGCTGCTTGTCTGGAGTTCCTATTGGAATACCCATAAACGAACACCAAAGCCTACACAGAACACGAGGCTAATGGCATTAGTAGTCGATGCTGATGACACCAAATTAAACAAAAATAATAATAATAATAATAAATAATAAAATGGGAGGGGGGGGGGTGGCTCAGTGGTAGAGCCTCTGCCTGCGGATCCAAGGTTCGGTTCGAATTCCACCGTTTGTCGGGATTTTTTCATTTAATTTATTTATTTAAAATTAATTCTTATGCTTTGGTAGGATTCCCCACTCGACCATTTACTGTTGGGTTCTAATTAACAGTGCTGTTCCTAAAGATGACACAAAATAATAATAATAATAATAATACTAAATAGTTTTATATTTTTACTGCTATTCATGTATTTTTTAACAATGATCTAAAATAACACATTCGCAATTTAGCACAAATTAACGACGAACAACTACTAGATTAATTTTGTTTACAAAAATCAAATTGCAAACATTTACGGTGTTGTCCAATTATTATGAGTATGTATGCGTTATGTTACTTGGATTGTTTATGGTTATAATTTGGTATTGACTTAACATAAGGCTCTAAAACACAGAAAATGCTTATAAAATTACATTAAGGAAGTATATTTGCATTTTTAATAACAGTTATTATAAGTTTAATGTATTTTTCTCGTTGCAACTATCATATTTGAAGGTAATTTTCAATAAATTTGGCAATTATTTTAAATTTTGATAGCAATGTAAAGCAAGCGTCGTAGACGTAAGTACTGAATTGTTCATAAAACAAATGATCGCTCCTTAGATAAACAAACTGGCACAAATTATTCCCACTTAAATTAGCAGCCGTCTCGTTCTTTCTAATTCGGCAGCCGATGCGTAATATAAAACACAATCTGAATAATTTAAATAAATAAGGGCTTAATTTTGAATGAATGGATTATCCTAGTAGTTTTTCGTCGTTGTTTGAATTACTAATAAAACTGTTTCTCTCCAATTTGAGCTGCCATTTTAATCTATAATAAAATATACAGAACGGTTTTGTTCAAATTTACCTTTGATTCAAAAGACCTATTAAACGTTTATATATTATTAAGATTTGATCAATACATAATTTTTATAAAATCAAAATAAACCATCCCAAAACACTACGGCTATGTGCGATGTACGATACCCCTTTTCCCGCCTGGTATTCGCTCAGTGCGTAGTCATGGTAGGGGAAGCAAAAGCGATACTAGCGCTAGCAGCGGATAATTCGTGCATTTTAGGGCGATAATTTGTAATTTTGGCTAATTAACTACACGTATACATTTTACTTTTTTTATCAAAAAAGTAGGTAAAAACAATACAATAAGCAACCGGAGTTGCTGTGTTTAAAATTGTAAAAATACTAGAAAATAAAAAACAGTAAATTATAAAAATGTTCAGTAGCAAAGTGCAAATTAAATCAAAGAAATAAATGGATGGGTGTTAAAATAAGAAGAAAAATTACCTTTATTTCTGTAATAATAACAGTAGTACTGGCAATAGTAAACATTAGAAACTTGAAAGGTTTTAAATAAACAATAAATGATCATTTTACGATGTTTCTTCAACATCCCTTTAATCTTAAAAACTGGATTTCTGCCTTTGATTATTTTATGTGGCTGGAATGCAATTTTGTGATTTACTGATAGGAAACCAGTTTTAATCATTTATTCTATGTTTCCTTTCGAACAAAACTGAAAATATAAATAACAATCCTTCTGTTTATACATTTTAACTTCACGCTATTATTTATTATTATTATTTTTATTTTGACAGAATAGGTTAATTCTTCAAAGACAACTTATTAGACTTAGGTAACTTCTCATACATTTTCCTGTAAATACTGCCTATATTTTAATATTTATTTTTGTTGATTATACTTAGTTTTTTTTAGTTTAGGCGATAAAAATATATAATATTAATAAAAAATTAATGTTTTACTTGTTTTACAAATCCTTATACTTTTATTTAAACTAACATATATATTTTTTAATTACCTACTAATTCTATTAAAAATTCTGTTTTCTGTATACGCAAAAATAGTCCATTAGTACAAAAATGAATTGGCGCTGCTGTCACGCACGGAGCGAATATCTGCGGACAGAAGGTGTATTGGTTATACAGTGTGAAGGGCGAGTCTAATTTAGATAATATATTGTCTATGGTTATATGCAATGTTTTTCGAATAACAAACATCTGGACTCTTCTTTTTAATGACATTACTGTGGATTTTCCTTATGGAAAGAAGATCCAAGTAGGCCTGAAGAGTGGAAGCTCTATATATATATAGGATCGCCGTTGCTATGCTAGATACAGACCATACGAACAAACTAAAAAACAAAACTTATCTTTGGAAAATGTTACATTTATGTAATTTTGTTAATTTTTTTTTATATTAAATATACATCTTATATAAATCTACCTTCCGAAATTCCTAACAGTTTCAGAAGAATTTAGTGTCCGGCCGTTATGGACGACTAAAGTACTGTTCTACGAAATTATAGTTTTCGTTTAAAAATTGAGGAAACTAAAAAATGTTTTATGATGGCACAAAATTAGCCTAAAATAAGTCTAAAATCAAGCCATGTCCAATTTTTTTCAAGTCGTATTGTTAAGTTAGTACAACACCTAATTATTCCAATAAAGGCAAGAGCGGAATGGTTATTTGTGCAACAAGAATGAACATGATGGCCATAACGCACAAAGACTGAGTGCTATATGGACAATCCACTCGAGTTGTACAGTATATTTTTTCTATGACCCACTAGCCAAAATCCACATATATTAATAATTATTTTAGGTCTTTAAGATAAAATAACCAATTTAAATGTAATTTATAACTTTTACTTATTTATAAAATAAACAAGAAAAAAAAAAGAAAAAAGATTTAATTTAATTTGTCCCAATCCTAGATTGGAACTCGGGCCTTTCGCATGAAAAGCAAGTGCTCTGACGTCACCACCCCCTAGGTGCTTAAAATTGTTGCTTTAATATTCGCAATTAAATTGACTTTATATAGTTTTATTAACGAATTATTTATAACTCATTTTAATGTATATTTAAAATCAATAACCAGAGCCCTCAGAAAGTCTAGATACCGCTTGGCGTATGCTGTCAATACAAAAAATTACCCCATTCAAGCTTGTCGCCATGATGGGTAAATTAATGTTTTGGCTACACTAATTTTTAGTTTGTGTGTTCTGTAATACGTGAGCACCGATAATCTGCATTTTGTTATTAGTTATAAGTGAGTGAGACGCACAATTTCCAATTTCAAATTAGGAACAAAACTTTGACAAACCTATTTGATTTTCCTAGATCTGTTCAGGCAGGACCGGTTTTATACATTTTCTCGTTCTTGAAATGTTATTTTCACACGGTTATATTATATATATTATTGGATAAGTGTTTTGTGTACATATTGCTGTGAGAATTATAGATAAATTCAATGAGATTTATGTAATATAATTTAAATTACAAGTAAACCATCTGTTCCTGTTTAGAAAGATGGAGAAAATACCTACATTCAATGTCAAATGTACTATTTAAAAGGATGTGATTGTTAACCGGTCATCCATTTATATTATGACAATGAAAACTAAAACTTTATAACTAGGGAAGGATATACTTACATCGGTAACAAGATATTTTTAGAAAAACTACAATAATACTCTCCCTAATTCATCCCCTTACGAGTGAATTTCAACCCCTGAAGTCGATTGAACGACTTGTGTAGGGGAAGGGACGGCTATTATTATTATTTGCCGTGGCGCTCCGGGGCGACTTAAGGATGATTGATGGTGCCATTTGACTTACAGGTGAGGAAAACCCGGAAAACCTCACCCACCATCAAAAACTGATAGATTACTCTATTCCTATAGTTTATTTGACAATGAATGATAGCAAAATTATATAAAAATATAGACCTTTGCCATAAAAATTGTGCTACCATACATTTTCAAATAAACTATAGGGATAATTTGATTTAATAGAGCGGGTATAAGATCACACCTGTTAGAGAAATTGGGGCATAGGGAAGAGGTAATGAAACAGGTAGGCAAAGTCGTTGCAAAAGATAAATATATAGAAGTTGTTTTAAAAATTTGATAAAAAAAAAACTAGTGGAACAACAAATGGAGTTGTCGCTATGGGAGATCCAATCAGCAGAAAGTAAAAAAAAACTTGGGGAATGTTGGAAATTGTGAGATGCAAAAAATACTGCTAGAGTGGAGAAGCAGTACTGTTCCAATGTAGAAAACCCAGGCATATACAGCAGTGCACCAACCATATGCGAATAGTCAATGAATTATACAATAGTCCCATCTCGATTTTATTTTTTAATATTTTTGAGAATACCTATTATTTTATTTGTTAGGTACAGTGAGTTTAATAAAACCACAGATTTCGAAAGTATTGAAAGTTATTTAAAAAGTACCTCTATAAATATATAGAAAATGTGTACATGACTAACTGGTTTTATTACTCTTTTTTTTGGGATAGTTAAATATATTTTGAAAAATTTACAAACTTCTTTTAAATAAAAGACAAAATATTTCAGTTTTCATTTACTGAACAAATAATATTTTATACAAACATATCGCATATTTATATGAAATAACTTACTCAAAAAGATAGAATTAAATGAAACAAATTAATAAACAATAGATATGAAAAATTGTTTTAACAATTTAATCCTTAGAGAAACTTATTCTTACATATTGCCTTAATCAATTTATTTACTATAAAAGTATATTTCCTATTAGTTATTACATGTAATCAGGGGGGATATCGCGCATGATGTCATGGCGGCGCTGACGTTATGCGTAGAGTTGGCGCGAAGTAAATATCATATGACAGATGCACATTACAGTAGTTTTTAAGTAGTTTATAGTGATTTATAACATTTTAGGCGGATATTTGTATTATATTATGTTGTAAACTTTGTTCTTTGTAAGTGATATTAGTAAAAAACATAAAAAAAGATGTACGTTGTTTCTGCTTTCCTCGACAGTAAGAGGTTAGTCACAAATGGCCAAAGGGCGACTTCCGTGGGGGTTCCAGGGGACCACGTCCATCCTGAATTAAAATTGTTATATTTTATACAATTTTGTTTAAAAAAGAGAATTGTTATAGGAAATTGTATATGTTGCAGAAAAAAATCCACATGTATTTGATTGAAGAATTAAATACCTGTCAGTGACTATGTCCAGGAAAATAAAGTGACATTTTATTTTAATTTTGTATATACACTCACCATGTAGCAATTATTTATATTTTTTACATTATTTTTATCTTCTGCGTTAAATGTATAAAAAATAGTTTTTAAAAAACTATTTTTGGTCTCGTACTTATACATAAATCAAATCATTTCCATAACATAAGTAGTTACGTATATTTAATTGGGTAATATAATGCAGGTAAATGAGTCACCAGTTGCGAATCCTAATCAGTTAAATATTTCCGGCGTCCCCAGATGCGAAATTTTTACCCAGGGTCCCCAGTTCAGAAGTTCCGAGTTGCAAATATACCTTCCTCATTATTCTGATTATAAAAACTATTCTTTAGAAAAAAAAATGTTCTTTAAAATTAAAAACCTGCATTCAAATTTGCACAACAAAAATAAATCAATAAAAAGAAAAATGAAAAAACTTTTACCTAAAATAAATATTTCTGTTATATATGTATCTGAATTTTTTTCTTCATTACTCTTTCCCATAATAATATACTTATATCTATTTTATAAAATACTACCCTTTAATATTCATGAAATTTCTGTAAGCATATATTTTCCTCACACTTCTTAAGTATTTTTAAATTCGCGTCTATACAAACTCTACGCGTGACGTCATGCGAGTGGCCGTCCTATTTTTAATACAGTTGATATCCTACCTTTTATTATTTATACCATGACATGTAATAAAATAAAGTATAAAACATACAAACTATAATAGGTAACTACTAAGAACGGAACTAATATTTAATAGAAAAACCTGACCAAAAGATGTAGAATAAATTGTCGCAACGGTTTTTAAAAATTACGATTTTTATATCATTTCTTTGGTAGTATATGTCCAAAAGTATACTAAATTTCTAAACTCCTGCATTCAAACATTTTTCTAAATGAATAAATAAAACTTCACCAAGAAAGGTTAAAAAATTCAAGTAATTTGATTGTGTTGTTTAATAGCAATTAATAAATGGCGTGGTAATATTAATAACAATTTTGTTGCCAACAATTTTCCTTTCATAAATTAAAATAATTAGATATTATGTGACATTCATAACTAATATTCATTAACTCGAGAGATAAAAACCCATTTTGTTTAATAACATTAGATGATGGGAAGATAATATTAATAACTTTATTGCCAACAATTTTCTTTCTACATAGCAATTTACAAATTACATTATGCTTCAGGTACCTAAATAAGTAAACGTAATATAAAATAATAACCCCACTACATAAACCTAAATTAAACAATTGTGAGACCATGTTCCTATGATCAACTTTATCCAAAGCCTTAAAACTATTTATAGATCCAAGAGCAAGTGGATGCACTTGCTCTTGGTTATCCAAAACATAATCAGAAACATATTCAATTTCAATTAGGCATAAGTTAATAACCATTCAATGATTATTAATAAAACTTTGATGATCTTGTGAAATATTATCCAGGAAATATTAAATAAATGCAATTGCAAAATGAAATAATAAAAAGTACACAATAATGCCAGTAGTGCCAACTTAAAATTTATGCATAATGGCGTCCATCATATTGGGGGTAAAAATTTTTTCACGATGCAGTATCTAGACCTTCTGAGGGCTATGTCAATAACCAAAAAATATACTGACAATTAGTTTGACAGATTTGACACTTATTAAAAAATAATAGTTGCCAAGTGACCAAAATATAAACTGTGAATGGTTGATTTCATTATTGGCAATGTTCTCACTACTTAGAATGGATCTGAAATATATTCATTTAGTTGAACGCAAAATACCATACATTTTCGTTTTGTAGTCTGTGCGTAATATAGTTAATATCCATGTGAGTGTAGAATTTTTTTTATGTTAGTACAGAATTAGCCTAAAGTGATTCTTAAGTTATGCCTTGCTCATTTGTCGTTTTATGAGCAAAAAAACTCTATAAACTCATATTTTCGAGCTAGCACAGCACCTAATTTTTCCGATAAAGGCAAGAAGGGAATTTTTTATACTGGTATAGAATTAGCCTAAAATGAGCCTAAAACAGCTATGCCGTTTTAATTTTCTGCCTTTCTGAATTTTTTAATGGAAAACGCAATAAGTGCCTGTTGTTAAGACAGCGGAGTTCCTATTTTTTTTTATAAATAAAGGAGCAGATTTTTTTTAGGTTGGTATAAAATAAGTTTGAAATAAGCCAAAATTATGGGGTTATCAAAGAAGCGTTTTTTTATGTTAGTATAAAATTAGCCTAAAATGAGCCTAACATTATGGCATACTCAGAATAAGAATATGAAAAATCTAAAGCTTGATACGTATGTTTTGTATGCAATGTAAAATATCGACAAATCGCTTAAATTTCCAAACGTAACATCTTACTTTAGAGAGAATGGATTTTAAATTATTAGGCTTCAGACTTCTTCAGCATCAGGAGGTCCATCAAAATTGTTATATAATCTTCTGTTACACCATAATCTCACTGATATAAAGTAAATCAATTCGACAGCAGATAATAGAGAAAACCCTGTGAAAAGACCCAACAGTCCTCCAAAATTTGATAAAAAGTCAAACGGTCCATAAAGTTCATTCTTTTCGTAGGGTATAAATTGGTCGGAATTGAAGAATACTTGCAGCATCGAAAAATGCCTGAAAATAAATAAAATTATTAGGTATCTTAATCAAGATTTCACAAAATTGGGATCATTAAGTGGAACTTGCTGTCGACTCGACCACTGTAACGTTATAAATAACGTTTCAGTTTTATTTCCGGACATTCAATAATGATACCCTCCTGGGAAAATATGCAGGCACGCCACTGGTAGGAGCTTATATTTCAAGGCCACGCGTCGTTAAAATGTTAAAATCAATAATTTGGGTCTTGCGCGGTCGGACGATAGAACGAAGCATTTAAGTATCGTTTCCGAATTATCGGCCGGTCTTTTCTTATTCAATCAAGTACCAGATGATATTGATATAATATCTGTATGTCTGCGTTCGGCGAATAAAGAAAATTATTTAAAATGTTTGGTTATTTAGAATTGCTTGATAAGTGATTACAGGTTTAACATCTCATTTGTAGATTATTACGTGAGTTCTTCGAATTGTTTTTAGTTTGTTAACATTTAAATGTTTTTTTTTAATAGCTAGCACACCATAATGGTCGCCATATTTAGTTTCTATATCTCGATATTCGTGTTTTTTTCCATCTTTTAACAAGGTAACTGAATACTGTTGCGAATCTAATCAATCGTTGTATTGTTAATAATTGATTTATAATAAATGTATTTATTTTGGTACTTTCTTTTTGTGTAACACATGTTAGGATATGGAAAACTTTTTTTTATATAAGTGACTAATACCGTTTTTTTTTTCTTTCATGAAGAGATACTGAACTAAAGCCGTATCAAAGAGGATAGATACCTCGAAATAAAGAGGCCAACAAAGAGGTAAAGTGGTTACAACGAGGATAGAATGGTAAAGGTGTCCAAGCAGTAGAATAGCCGTAGAGCTGTAGAACAACCAGACATCTGTAATATCTCTTTATCAACGGCCCAGTTAAAGCTGGAAAAATCCTTGACAGTCTAACCGAGCCAGATAAGTGTCTGCCATCAGAGCCTGAGCATTTTGACTAGTATATATACAGGGTGTACCAATAAAAACTCTCAGGCCGGATATTTTGGTAAGTAATAGAGATATTTTTATTCTTTTATTCTGTAAAAGCCCGTTCATAGAGCACTAAGAGAGCTTCAGTTTTAGATATAAATTAATTTTAAATAGGTCAATAGGTAGATGGCGCTGCGCTCAATATATTTTTTTCGAACGCATCTTGTAAAAAATGTATTTTTAATCAGATTTTGTTCTATTAACTAATTCGATAAATCTAGCCATTTTTGATATACAGAGTGGGTTACTCAAAATAGTTTCATCCTGTTTTTCGGCATTAATCATTGGATTTTTAGGAAATGCTAAAACAAGTCGATTTTTAACACATTTTTAAAATAAAGACATCTGTCATGTGTCAACCCCCTCCCTTCTATTTCTCCAACCCCTTAATTTTAAATAAGGAATGTATCATGTACAACACATCATTAAAAAGGTAATTTTATGGAAAAATCAGAAATATGACAGTTTATTGCGATATTATAAAGTGTGATACTTTATTTGTAAGCTAATTTAATTACTAATTCAATGCACCACATAACATTAATATAAATATTTCCATATTGCTCTTGCAACAAAATAAAGTTAGCAATAATGTTTAAAATTATGCATGAATAATTTTCAAACTATTGCAAGTGCAATATGGAGGATATTTATATTAATGTGGTGCATTGAATTAGTAATTAAATTCGCTTTCAAATAAGATGTCACACTTTGTATTACGTAGTTATTTTATCCCGTAGAGGGCGGTACAATTAAAAGAATCGCAATGAACAGTCATATTTCTAAATTCCCTATAAAATTACCTTTTTAATGATATACTACACATTGTACACTCTATATTACGTAGTAGTTTTTTATCCAGCTAGAGGGCGATAAAATTTAAGTAACGCAATATACAGAAATAATTTTGAATTCTCCATTAAATTACTTTTTCAATGATGTGACATACATGATACATTACCTATTTAAAATTAAGGTGTTGGAGAAGTGCAAGGGAGGGGTTGACACATGACAGATGTCTGTATTGTAAAAATGTTTTCAGTTTGGAATAAAAATCAACCTGTTTTAGCATTTTCTTAAAATCCAATGAATAATACTGAAAAACTGGATGAAACTGTTTTGAGTGACCCACGCTTAATATCAAAAATGGCTAGATTTATCGAATTAGTTTATAGAACAAAATCTGCTTAAAAATGCATTTTTTTTCAAGATGCGTTATATCAGAAAGATCCTTCCATCCAAAAAAATATATTGGGCGCAGCGCCATCTACATATTGACCTATTTAAAATTAAGTTATATTTAAAACTGAAGCTCTCTTAGCGCTCTATGAACTGGCTTTTACAGAATTAAAATATCTCTATTACTTATCAAAATATCTGGCCTGGGAGTTTTTATCGGTACACCCTGTATATATATATATTTTACTTTTCCTCAAATTTTTCCATTACGGTTCATTTTACAGAAATTATGTATGAAACAAAAATTATAAAGAGTGATATCGCAAAAAATTTTTATTTAACGAATTTTCTTCTCCAATCTTAACAGAGATATTCCTTAAAGTAAAAAAAATACAACCTGTAAAGTAGGCCAAAGATGCTTCGACTATGCCCAAAATTTATTAGCTTACCGCAGGAAGTATTAAAGATTAAGTTTATAATTTGGTGCTTTTGTCTTTATCCGTTTTTCAGTTTCTTCAAAATTCGAAATTTGCACTTTTCCTCAAATATCTCGAATACGGTTCATTTTAGGGAAATCATGTACGAAACAAAAATTATAGAGAATAACATTACAAACAACTTTTATTCAAAGAATAACAGATATATTCGAAAAAGTAGAAAAACGACCCTAATATAAAGTACCCCTCCAGACGTTCCGATTATGTCCAAAATCTAATCAACTCACCGTACGATTGATTGAAGCTAAAGATTAAAATTTATGAGTTATCGAATATACAGACACATACATAGACAAACATTCACACATCATCACGAAAATAATCAAAACGGATTCAGTGGATGCCAAAATGTAAAAATTCGTAAAAATCTCGAGGTAAAAAAAAATAATGATTCCTATACTTTCCTTCTGTATTCAGACAGAAAAGTAACAATTAGTCAAGTGTAAGTTAAAATGTTGACAACAACATTTTAAGGCCTATTAGTTTTGAGATCCTTTTGGACCCTTATTTAAAAACTGTAAATAACCGTTTATTAGAATATTCGCTCAGTTACGGAAAAACTGATATTTTGCTTCTTTTTCTCTCTTAGCTATTTTATAGTTTGAAAAACCTAAAAACTTAAAATTGAGTACTTACATAATGTTCATGGTTTCTTGCGAAATATTAAGATTTTTACGTGCTCCAAAATATTGTTTCCACTGCCAAGGATAGCTCGTTGTTTCAGTATTAAAAGACAATTCTGTGCAGAGAGGAAGACAGTTACAACTTTTGTAAGTAGCAGTTTGTTTTTCCTTTAATTGACTGTTCAATTCAAGCATTTTTAGTTCATCTAAAAATATTTAAAATTTCAGTTATTTTAACAAAGTAGGTATGTTGTGTTTGGAAATATACAGGGTGTTTCAAAAAGATTGGTCATAAATTATACCACATATTCTTGGGTCAAAAATAGGTCGATTAAACAATACAAAAGTGCACCCAAAAATAGTTATAAGATAAAAATTTAAATGAATTTTTTTAACGTTGCTCTTAAACCGTTTGGCATTTTTTCATGACATTTTATATGATGTGTTAGAATACCATGACTAATAATACTGCGGAAGAGGCAATGCTTTTTCTTGATTTTTATAGGTTTTTGGAGGGGGTCACCGCTCTTTTTTCCACTCAACTTTTTTATAGTATAAAATTTAATTACAAACGCCACTGGAATGCAACATCCATTTGGAAACTTTTTTGTCTCTTAGTATTTGTAAAATGTAAAATGACAACTTAAAAATATTGAATGGAAATTCTACGTATGAAAAATATCAAAATCAAGTTTATTTTTAAATTACAAACTAATGTCATCAAAATAAAAAAAAATAATTTAACAGGTGTTTAAAATTATATGCTTCTCCTGTATACACTTACTACATAGTTTTAACAATGAAAATCGAATTTTGATATTTTTGCATACGTATAATTTACATTGAATATTTTTAAGATGTTATTTTAAGTGGCTGTATCGTCTAAACTAAACATTTTACAAATAAATACTAAGAGACAAAAAAGTGCATTGAATTAGTAATTAAATTCGCTTTCAAATAAGGTGTCACACTTTGTAACGGTTTAAAAGCAAAGTTAAAAAAATTCATTTAAATTTTTATCTTATACACCCTGTAACTATTTTTGGGTGCACTTTTGTATATAGGTAAGTACGGTTTAATCGATCTATTTTTGACCCAAGAATATGTGGTATAATATATCTGTATCCGTATCCGTACACCACTGCACTAAGGCCATACTAGACCCATTGAGCCGTGCATTGCCTTATGGTACTTAAGCCTCACTAGGCACATTGCGTCTCTTCCGGCCGATGTTAGCCAATACTCGCTGCACATAAATCTAATAGAGCATCGGCTCGACAGTCTCATTTTTTTACAGCCCCATGCTATGCAGGTGCTTCCATGCTTGACAATGACGAGTAGGAATGTCTGTGACTATTCGCTGTTTCTGTCTAGTCATAGTCAAGTATTTGTTTGCTGTAGTGTTTTTAGAGCAACTTAAAAGCGAGAAAATAAAACCAGAAATCTATCCTACATATGGGCGATTCTTGCATAACTGTGATTTTTTATGTCCAGTATTTTATTTATCGTTTAGCATAAGTTTTCCTCATCAAAAAGTTATTAATATTGTAAATTTAGAGGTATTTTACAACTGACATTATGAATTAGATCATAAACCTTCGCAAATTTTTTTTAAGCTGCACCTACATATACTCGAAATGTCAGTACCGTGGCATGCCCGATTCTTATTTTTAAAATTAAATATATGAATTTCTATCAAAATTAATTTTTTAATATAAAATATACCTCTTATAACTACAATCTAATGCATAATGCATTGAATTTTATTGCAATTTTATACCAATCTTTCGTTTAGTAAAAAAAAATAATCATTTATATGTCAGTACCGTGGAAATAATGTCAGTACCGTGGCATTAAACTTTTGAAATTTTGTCACAGTTTTCGTTGTGTTGTAGCTGTAGTAAAACCAGTTCACAGGCTTAGTTTTGTGAATAAATAGAAAATAAAAACGCGCAGAACAAACGTTTTAAAACATTTTAAATGTTAGAAAAATTTAAATTGTAAAAATCACAGTTACACGAGAATCACCCATATACATTTTATAAAAATCAAGGCTATAAGCCATTTTCAAGCTTATAATAAAAGTTTTCAAAGGTTAACATAGATGATAATTGCCTAATAATAAAAAGACATACATATACTTATGATCTTAGGTTTTTTATAATTAGATATATAATATTATAATTAAATATATAAGACATTAAAACATTCGCAGATGCACTAATATTAGATAAACATAGTTTAGAAAGTGAAATAATTAAAAAGATGCTATACTCAAGCATATTGTACTACTTAAGTATATAACCCGTACTCCAAGCAAATAATTATCTACCTGCGCTATATTTAACCAATACGGTGAAGATGTGCTTTATTTTGAAAAGATTTCTTAAAGATGATATCTTAAGTTAATACCACAGATTACTCAGATATAAGAGTTAATAATTAGCTTGCGGCATAAAACATTTAAGGCTGAAAAACCTTTACGTTTGTAGAGCAATATGTATTTTTTGGATAACCTCACGATACACAAATACCGGTATGCTACTAAAGGTCTATTATTACTATAGGTCAAGCTACGATCAAGTCACGGTCCAGCCACGGTCCGATCAAAAATGATTTGTCATAATTTTAATGCTCTTAAATGAGTTTTCTTTTAAACCGTTCACACATGCAAGTCATCGAACAAGCAAGCCACGGTCAAGTCACGTGCCGATTATTTCCAAAAATATTTGACCGGACGGTGACTGTCCGTTAACGCACAGACCGTCTAGTGTGAATGCTTAACGACCGACCTGTCAGTCAAAAAAGCGGGCTGTCGGCAGTATCGAAAAGGATAGAGTGATTACTGTATATGTTTAGATTTTCTTTAAAATGGCTAAACATTTTCATCTGAAAACGATCTCAAACATACTGAAAGTTTTTGACCTGGGGAAATTGATTCAATTAAATATGATATCATCTTTAATTGTCAAAAATATGTTTTGAAATTCTTCAATTTTCATTTTAAATAAAAAAAAATTTCATGCAACGTAAAAAATTCGCCTTTGATTTTTCTGTTTTTTTAGCATTGGATGTACTCTTCTTTTCTGTTATATTTTATATTTTTTGTTGTTCTTCTTCCGCATCCAAAATAAGTGCGATTTTAATGAATAAAGTTGAAACCAATCACGATTGCCTGCTGTACGTTGAAGAAACTGGTCGAACATGACGATGACATGACCCGATAATGATTTTATCGTGACCGGACCGTGACTCGACCGTGCCTTGTCCGGTAATGTGGATAGACCTTAATGCGACCAAATTTCGTACTTTCCGCGCATGACGTCGCATAAAGCAAACAGTATTTAATTGACGTTTGAATAAGAACTATTTTTTTAAATAATCTTATTTCTAATTATAAAGATATGATATGAAATATTGTCACGCGTTTATTTTTGGAATGTTAAATAAGAGTTAAGAGCGGACGTACAATTTTTCGGGTATAGGAGTTTCAATGCTATTTTTTTCCCAAATTATGAAAAAACTAAAGAATATTTTAAAAAAAATTTAAAAAGCACAATGAAGAACGTGCTGATATCTAGAGAAGTGCTGGCTTTACAACATCGTAATAATTTTTTTATAGAACCAGAGGGCGGTTGAAAACTGTGAAATTAACACATTTTCATTTCATAAAAATAATAAGTCAGCTTTTTTTGGTTTCTATATAATTCATCTACTTTCCAAGGTAATAAATCAAAAGGAAAATCACTGAAAACCGATTTCAAAAAGGTCTATTAGTTTTTTTAGAAAATGGAAAAAGAAACAACGCTTTTTAATCGAGTTAAAATTCTTTACTAATTTCGCTGTCTTTCTTCTCCGGTCTCCTTTTTGTTTAAAATCGATAACTATAGACGGATTAAGGCATTTTGTACCTTACACGTGCTGTTACTACATTTAAATTGAAACATTTGTGAATGTTAAGAAATTTAAAAAAGATTTTGTAGAATATAAATCTTTTTTATAAAAATTAGTAAACTTTGCTATATAAATATATATCTATATTCTAAAAGGTAAATCCCATTTATGTGATTATAATTTTTTTACATTATTTCTCTAATATAATATGGATTGCTCTCTAAATATATATACAGTGTCTCGCAAAAAGCCTGCTCCATATGGAAAACTTTTTATTGTCACTTTTTTAGAAAATGATATTCATGATAAAACTTGGTGTTTAATTTTGAACCTGAAACTTTTTTTATTTTAAATATAAATAAATATAAATTTGGCTGCGCAGTGAACTAAGTACCCATTTAGGAACCCACATTTTTACATATAAAATTAATTTAAAACAATGTAAATAAGCCCATATAGTACTTTTTAGTTTATAAAATTAATCTAGTTTATTATATACTTTTTTACGTAGATTAAAAAAGTTTAAAAATTTGGTACTAACTTGGTACGTCGTATGATTTCACTTTGTATATGTTTAGGTACAGATAAATTATTGATATTGACAGTTTATTTTTAAATCAATAAAATAATATTTTATTAATCCAAAAAAGGCAACCAAAGAAATCCTTGCCACATACAGTGTAACAATAAAAATTAAATATATAAATATAGCATGTTATGTATTAAGGAACTAAAATAGTTGTAAGGAAGTAAAAACGACACTTTAGTCCCTAAAATGAAGGAGTAAATTGCATGTTTTAGTTCCTTCGGTACAAAAAATATTTATTTATGCAACAAGTGTGTAAAGTTACCCTTTTTTGCCGAATGTGAATGTTGTCGCACTCACCTACGGCTTGTGCGACAATCACATGAATCAAAAAAGGGACTTTACACACGAGTTGCATACAATATTTTTTCTATGACCGTACACATTATCCACTTATATTAGAAATATAAGTTACTTTTTCACTAGTGCGTAAAGTATAAAAATTTATATTTCATACGGTATTACTGGTCAAAGAGGCACTATCGAATCGCCTCTCTGGTCATGTACCTGGCACATGGCTTTAATTCAGCAGTCAGTATTAATATGGTTAAAGGCTGGAATTTCCCGTCTACTTCTCATCAATATGCCATTAATTGCTAATATATTATATTTATTTCTACATATTAAAGGGAAAATGGAGGCCTATTAAATGGATTTGATTGATAAGTCTGCTTAACAAACTTTTCAAACCTTTTCTAACCATACATTATAATTCGTTGCTTGTTA